CCTTGTGTAAGCTGGTTTCTCCACCCAGCCTTCAACTTTTGACCCTACCGAGAGCTTCTGACCACCCCCCACCCCAGGACTCACCGTGGGGGAGCCGCTGACCTGAGGGGACAGGTAGAGGTTGACACAGGAGCTGGGCACAGAGAGGTCTGTGGGACTCCGGGCTGAAAGCTGTGCTGAAGGGGCCGTTCGGAATCAGAGGGCTCCCTGGGGCTGAGCAGAGTTGAGGACAGGTGTCAGATACCCCGGACCGACCGCATCCTGTCTCCCACTGCTTTGTGGGCAGGGCGCCAGGTCCTTGGCCTGTTACTTAAGGCCTCCACGCTGCAGTCTCACACACGCCCTGCCTTGGGACACCTCTAGACCCCCCCACTTACTGTCACCTCTGGCTGACATGCCTTTCTCCTCTTCACTCCAGTTGGTCAACTACTCATCCTTCAAAACCCAGTCTGTCCCCCTCCTTGAAGCCTGGTGGGGGGGTCGCTCCCAAATTTTGCTCTACCTTCTCTTCAGCTGAGAGTTTCCTTGATAATGAAACCAGGGATGAGGTGGACATAGCTGTCCATGCCCTGTTTCCGAAGTACAAGGATTGCATACGTATCGGGGGATCCCATGCCAAGTGTCTCCCATCCCACCGGGGTCCCCTCCCCGTCTTTATCCAGGGACGCTCCTGACACCAGGAGAGAACATGTGAAAACTTCCAGTCTTTTCTCTGCTGCACATTCATGGCTGTTTTCACACAGGTCTTATTTGTCAGTTAAGCCTTTGAGAGGTTTCAGACGGAACAGGGCCTTCGTCCCCTCTCTGCCTCGCTTGGGGTGGGGCACGGAATGAGGAGGCCACCAGGTCCTCTCAAATGAAAGTACAAAGACGCGTCGGCACGTGGGGAAGTTCCAGGCTGGGATTCGGAAGGCCTGGTCCTTCACGAACCAACGAATGTGCTGCGTCGTGACCTTGAGCCAGGCAGTGGCCTCGGCTTCCCTCCCACCATCTGCTCAAGGGGAGCCACTGTCCTCCGGCTGCACCCCCCTCCCTCCGCCCTCCCTCCCTCCCTCCCAGAGCTGTTGTGCGTTCAGAGCAGATAATGGATGTGAGGCCCCGGAAGGGCTTCTGTGTAATGCTGATTAATATTAATGATTTGACATGCAGTTGCCTGCTGCTTCCGGGCCCTGGGCCAGCTGCCTCTCCACGCAGGGCCGGGGGCGCAGCAGGAGAGCCCTGGACCTCTCACCTCCCCCCAACCCCTCCTCTTCTGGGCGTCCCCCACCAACCCAAGGGGTTTTTGATCACACCTCTTCCTTCTTCACCCCCAGATTTTTTCCCTGGGCCACTGCCCCAACCAGGACTGGCTGGCTGTCGGCATGGAAAGCAGCAATGTCGAGATCTTGCACGTCCGCAAGCCGGAGAAATACCAGCTACACCTTCACGAGAGCTGTGTGCTGTCTCTCAAATTTGCTTCCTGCGGTGTGTCTGCCTGGGGCTGGGTGGGACTACGGGCCACTGGGGCAGGGTCGCCAAATGCAATGCAAAACCAGAAACCCACACGTGACAACGAGCAGGATGCTTAGTTAAATCTGAACCCCGGATAAACAACAAATAATTTCTTAGCATAAGGAAATCCCAAGCATGCACGGGACATACTTATACTAAAATGCAACTAATTTATTGACACGAATATATCCCATGGGACATTCTTATGCTAAAAAGTTTTTTTTTTTTTTTTTAGCATAAGTGTGTCCTAAGTATTGCATGGGACGTACATACACTAAGGAAGAATGACATAGTTGGGACACAGCTACGCTAGAGGCGATGTGTGGTTTGTCGAGGCTGGAACGCGGCTGGGCACCGTAGACTTTGTCTGGCCAGCCCTCTCCTGGGGGTTCCGCCTTCTCCAGGGCCGGATGGAGCCCCCGGGGCCTTGACTTCAGCCCTCTGGAAAATGGAAGGATTCAGTCTCAGTTCCTTAAGGGGCCTCATGTCCCCCAGATGAGGGCAGAGTTGCTTGAGAGAGGCGGGCGCCTGTCTCACCCCTGCCTGCCGCCTGCAGCCCTGGCTCTCTTCAGGCCCTCCCTCCTCACCTCCCCCCTTCCGTCCCCCAGGGCGCTGGTTTGTGAGCACCGGGAAGGACAACCTGCTCAATGCCTGGAGGACGCCCTATGGCGCCAGCATTTTCCAGGTACTGGAGTCTGGGGCCCCCCAGCCCTGCAGGACACCATATGCCCAGGGGCCTCAAGGAGACTACAGTGGCGGTTAGACAGAGGCGCCTCCCCAGGGCCTCCCCTCACCCGCCAGCAGCCACCAAAGCAGGGTGGGCAACCGTCAGCCCCGCAGGCCACGGGCCACATCGGCGCACAGCTTGTTTTGAACTGTGGTAAAATACACGTACATAAAAGTTGCCATCTTAACCACGTTGAAGTGCACGGCTCAGCGGCATTAAGCACAAGCACATTGCTGAACCACCGTCCCCACTGTCCAGAACTTTCTCATCTTCCCAAATTGACCCTCTGTCCCCATTAAACACTCACTCCCCTCCCCTCCCCCAGCCCCTGGCTCCACCATCTACTTCCTGTCTCTATGGATCTGACTCCTCCGGGGACCCCCTATGAGTGGGATCACACAGTGTTTGTCCTTCTGTGTCCGGCTGCTTTCACTGAGCACCGTGTCCTCCAGGTTCACCCACGCGGTAGCCGGTGTCAGAATGTCCGTCCTTTTTTAAGGCTGAGTAGTAGTCCACTGTCTGGATGGACCACGCTGTTTAACCATCACCTGTCGATGGACACGTGTTTCTACCTTCTGGCTATCCCGCTGCTGTGAACATGTCATTTGTCCCGGGCACATAGCTGGGAGTAGAATTGCTGATAACCGTTTCATCTTTGGAGGAACCGCCAGACGGCTCTCCAATTTTTTTCCGTTCCCACCAGCAGCACAGAGGGTTCAAAATTCCCCCATCCTCACCGACACTCGTTACTGTCTTTTTTATGATAGCCATCCTCGTGGGTGCGGTTTTTATATTTTTAAAGGGTTGTAAAAAAAAAAAAAGTAGAATATGTAACGTCGATTTATTTGGCCTCTGGACTTAACTGCTAAAGAAAGACTTCTTTGGATTTTAAGCCAAACCTGAGTTTACTGCTGGCCCTACAGAAACTTTGCTGCACGCTTAGCCCTCTGCTGTGCTGCCCTCCCGCCTCGGACACACCCTCTCTGAGCTTCCCAGGAAAGGGCAGTGCTCCAGGTCTGTCTCTTGGTGTCCAGATAACGGAGGGCCTGCTCTTCCCAGGGGCATCTGGAAAGGCTCAGTTCTGGTTCCGTTGTCTGTCTCAGCCCCCACTTGACCTCAGGCTCGTTCTTGGCTGGCGCTGGCCGCTCACCGCCTTGCCCCTTCCATCTGTCATGCGGGTGGTCAGGAGCTTGCGCCAGCCTGTGCCAGCGTCGGCCACGCCTCACCTCTCCCTTCTCTCTCTCCTCCCCTCCCAACAGTCCAAGGAGTCATCCTCGGTGCTCAGCTGTGACATCTCTGGGAATAACAAGTACATCGTGACAGGCTCGGGGGACAAGAAAGCCACCGTGTACGAGGTGGTCTACTGAACCCCCCCTTCCTGCACCCTTGACCCTACTCCTCGGGGTGTCCGGGACAGGGACCCCACATCCCCTCTCCAGTCGTACCTGTGGGCGCCGAACCTCATCTGCTCTCTGGCCGACCCCTCATACCTTCCCCTGCTGGACGTGGGGCCGGGAGGGCAAAGGGACTTAGGGAAATAAATGTATTTATCACAACTGCCTCTGTCTCAGGCGGGGGAACCGGGCACCATCGCTTTTGTTGGGCAGCCGTTACTGAGGGACGGCCACTTTCCAGCTGTGTGACGGTGCATCAGTGGCTTACCTTCTTCCTAATCTGGACAATGAGATTATTCATTCTGGGTGTGACAGGAGTGAGTGTGCTGTGGGCGGCGTGGCTTGTTACACGTGCGACAAATAGCCCCCAGGTCTCAGGGGTTGAACAGACATTTCTCACTCCTGCCTGTGTGGCAGGTGGGGTTCGACTCCAGGTAGACACGCAGGGCTCCAGGATGGTGGAGGGTTCACCATCTTGATAGGTAGTGTCAGGATCCGACACAGCAAGGAGACAAGTCACACGTGGCTTTTAAACGTGGCCCAAATGTCCCTTAGTGCCAGCCCTTTTTACGGTGTCACCTCAGACTGCCCACACACAAAGGGTGCGGGATTACAGTGGAGCACGTGACTATTGGGGGTGCAGTCACATTTCCTTTGAGACCCAAAGGTAACTCCTAAGAGCCTGACACACAATGCCTGGCCCACGCACTGTCACAGCAAAAGTCCCAGTCCCAGAGGAGAAGGTGGCTAAGCCGAGAGCCGAGGGAAGAAAACGGCTGTCGGGAATGGCCATGAAACACAGGGAGCAGCATGTGCAAAGGCTCAGAGGTAAGGACTCCAGATCAGGCTTAAGCAGAGGAAGTGGTGACTAGTCAGGTCTGGGTTCTGGAAGCTCCGTGGGCTGCAGTGAAGACTGTGAGTTAGAAGGGACTGGGAGGGGAGGGGGCGGGAGTAGGGATGCTGCTGGGGGCTTCTGGAGGGAGATGGCAGGGTGACAGAGTCACTGGAACTTCTTTATGGAGAAAGATAATTCCGTGGCTAAGGAATCGCCAGGTCAACGCCATCTGGGATGCTGCTTTTCCTAGAGGGACAGGTGAGCAGATGGCGATCTTGGGGAGTCCCACAAAGAGGGTGGACCTGTCCTGGTGTGAGTGGATGGGGTGTCTTGGGAAGGACCGAGGCCCCCGCCCCTGGAATCGTGCAGGAAGTGGCTGGGAAACGTTTCCCCATGGCACGTGGAGATCGGCTGGGGAGCAGGAGGGAGTGACCCCCACTATTCCCTCCCACGACGGGGGCAGTCTTTGGTCAGATTCTCAGACCTAGGGTCCTTCTAAATCTCAAAGAAATGGCCAGGGGACAGGACAAGGAACCGGATCAGCTCTGCTTATTCCAATGGCTTTATTACACGTGACAAAGACCACCGGGCCCCCCACACCACGCCCCTCCACCGTGCCCTCCTGTGCCTGGGGGACAAAGACCAAAAAAAGGACCCTGAGTTGAGATGACACGGGCAAGCCCCTCAGTACGTGATCTGGTACACTGAGGCGTGATCCCTGGACCCCGTGACGACCAGGCGGTTGTTAAGGGACACGTCACAGCACGTGATGGAGGAGGTCTCGGGTACCTGGGAGGGTCAGGGAACAGAGCAAGAAGGGCTCACTCACCCTTCACCCTAACTCTGTCAGTTCAAATGTGGCCTCTCTCTCTCTGGGGTCTTTGCTTTGGGACCTCTGGGCTCAGGCCGAGTGTCGAAGACACCTGAGCACCGCCCACCCCAGTACCTGGAACACCACGGCCCCCTTGGGCATGCTGTAGATGCTGGCCAGGTTGTCCATCCCAACGCTCACCCACCACTGGCCTGGAAGGGGGCAGAGAGGCACGGGGTCAAAGCTGGCAGCTGAGGGCGAGCCCCCTGGGGATCTGGGACACGGAGGGAGCCCCCACTTCCCTCACAACAGAGAGGCTCCTGCCCATGAAGGGTGTGGGGGGCAAGGACGGGATGGGTCGAGGCCAGTCCATCTGAGTGAGGCGGGCCCTATGGGAGGCCAGGGGCCACGGGGGACTGCCCCCACCCACTCCTGGCCACTCACCCAAGGGGGAGAACTTGAGACCGAGGATGGTGCTGTCCTTACAGCCCACCATGTGCTTCTGGCCCCCGCAGGTGGGTTGCAGCCACTGCTGGCCGTTGGCTGTGCCCACCAGAAGCCAGTCCTCCCGGGGGCTGGGGGACATGCTTATTATCTGGAGGTAGGTGGCAGAAAGGCACCTGATCAGGGCCCCGCCTGGCCGGAGGCGGGAAGGAGCGCAGGGGCCCAGCCTGGGGGCCAACCACCTGCCCGATTCCTGGCTGCCCTGATAAGCAACCTCACAACTCTGAGCCTCAGTCTGCTCATCGGTAGAGTGGGTTGGTCTAGAGCATGTCCATCCGGTGTCCCCTGTCCCTCCCAGCATCACCGAGACTTGGGGCACCGCTATGCCCACCCTACGCTTCCACATCCACCTCCTCCTCTAGCCTGAGGCCCAGCCGCTACCTGGCCAAGCAGGCCCCAGCCCGTCCTGCACACCTGGGACTCAAATTGGTGTTCCTGAGGCTCCCCGGTGGCCCTCAGGTCCCAGCACCGCAGGCAGGCGTCCAGACCCCCTGCCCAGATGTTCTCGCCTTTGACAGAAATGCTCTTGGCTCCATTTGGGGGGCCCAGCAGGTCCCTGGCCAGGAGACGGAAGGGGTCGAGCTGAGACTCTGAGCTTTGGGCCCCACGTGCGTCACCCACCCAACCACTCCCAGCTGGCAGATGGGGACAGTGAAGTGAACAAAAGGTGCCTCCGCTGGGCTTTGAGAAGACAGCCCGGCCCAAGTTTGAACCTGGGTCTCTGACTCTCTCGGATCTAAGTTCAAGCAGGCAAGGGGCTTTCACCTGGAGACTGCTGGATCCCTGCTCAGGGGGGCGAGGTAGGAAGGGGCTCTCAGGCTGACCTGCCCACCCCGGGGTCACACCTGACCATGCTCTGGTCCCGCAGGTCCCAGATTCTGATGGTTCCATTGGTGAAGCTGGCAAAGGCCAGGCTGTCCGCCAGGCTCGCGGCCAGGGCCTGGCAGGTGAGGCCTGCGCAGGGCAGCTCAGCTCTCACGTGTAGGGCGGGGGCCGTCAGGTCCCACGCTCCCACACACGCTCACACCAGCCAGGTTGTGGCCACCCGTCAGCAGGGTGGTGCTGTTGGAGAACAGCAGGCAGGTGCGCAGGGATGCCCCGCAGGTCTGGGGTGGGCAGAGGCCAAAGTGAGCTTCCTCCCCTGCGGACAGCTCTTCCTGTTCGCAGAAGCCCCACCTCTAGGGCCAGCCCGGACCTCACCTGCACAGGCAGGTGGCTCTCGGGTAACCTGTCCTCCACCACTCGGCGGACCAGGCTCCACACCTTGACGCCACTCCTGCCGCAGGTGAACGCGTGCCGCGTGAAGCTGCTCACCGCCGTGGCCAGCACAGGCTCTCCGTGTCTCAGCGTGCGCACCCTCTCCATCCTGAACGGGACGGCCAGCTTCTTGGATTGGCAGGGCAAGGCGTCCGGCCTCTTCCAGGTGTCTTCGAATTCCTCGGGGTCCCAGAATCTTAAGAGGGGAGGCCTCGGGGTCACCAGCCTGCCTGGGAGCCCCTCTGCCCAGAAGGGGACCCACCAAACCCCAGAGGGGCTCTGTTCTGTTTCGGGTGTGGTGGATTTCCCACTACACCACCCTTCCCCCAACCTCCACCCACAACCCACCTGGAAAACTCATGCCCATCCCTTGGGGTCCTAGCCATCACACCTCTTCCTCTAGGCCAGCTGCCCCTCGCTCAGCTGGGCACCCCCAGCCTCAGCCACAGGTTGGAACTGCAGGCATCCGGCTCTGACACAGCCCCCCACTCCCCATTCCAAGGGGAGGGGGTCCTTCCTCAATTCCCTGAACCCGGGCTGGCTGTGTAGGGCAGGGCAGCACTGTGTGAAGGGACGGGGGAGGGGACACCCACACCGCTGGACCCTTCTATCCTCTGGGGACAGAGGTACTGAGAGAAGAACAGAGCCCACACTCACATGGGCTTCATGAGGCGACAGACTCTCCCAGCAGGCTCCTGCGGCGAGCCGAGATCGCAGCTAAGCCACTGGCTCCCTCTGCCCCAGGCCTCCCGACTTTCAAGGGGAGATGCCAACTCAGGCCCAGGTCTCACCTGGCCCACACGGGAGAACGTCCCCCCTGGTGCCATGCCTGGCCCTGTGCCCTCTACTCGGGAACCCATGGGGGAGCTGTAGGTGGGTGCCGGAGGGCTGAGAACTGGGCAGAGACAAAGGTGGGTGAGCATCGGGCATGGCCTTCTGGTAGCCGGCCGCGCCCTCCCACTGGGGTTACCCGAGGCGTCTTCGGTACATGGTTCCACTCCTGAGTAGCACGGTCCTGGCTCCCCGCTTTGCTGCCCGTAAGAAACAGGGTGATCTGGTCAGCCCAGGGGTCCTGCCCAGGTTCAGCCTCAGAACCGGAAGCCTTAGGGAGGCGAGATGTGGCAACCTCCCCGAGTGGCATCCTCCCGTGCAGGCGGAGCTGCAGCCAGCCTCGGGGCACAGTCCTGAGGCCTCTGGAGGGCCCGCGGGTGGGGGAGGCCGACCAACCCCACAGGAACCTGAACGCCACCCCGCCCCCCACCGGGGCCCAGCCAGGATAACCCACTCACTTACCAGGCCTGGCATCTGTTCTGTCACTACGAGACCACAGGAGAAGAAAGCGACAGACACAGGACAAGGTTCAGTCCGTGCTGCCTTCCACGTGGCCGGAGGCCGCCCCTCCCACCCTTGGGGAGACTCACGCCTGTGTCCTGGCCCGTCCACCTTATTGGGGTTCCGAGCAAAAATCTCCCAGAGTTGCAGAGTCAGGATATCGTGCCAAAACTGGGGCTCTGAGTCCCAGGACGGCTGCGTGGCTAGCTGGTGGACGGGGGCGCCGTCCACTCCGGAGGGCTGCTGGAGCCAGTCAGATGACTTCCTGGCCATGATGTCTTCGAAGGCTGGCCCCTGGAGACCAGATGGCTGCGGGGGCTTGACCCCTGGCTGCCAGGGAGCCTCGGGGCCGGCTGGCCCTAAGGAGTCCTGGTCAGCCTGCTCACCAAAGGGAGGTTGGCTGTAGGTCTCCATGGTCCGTAGGAAGTGTTCTGCCTGGGGGGATGGGGGGGGTGTCACTCCAGCTAAGGCTCTGGGATGGGACAGCCCTGGGCGCGAAGCCCCTCCTGCAAGCCAGTTTCCCCGCATGTAAAATGTGGATGCACCACCAACCACGAGTGTTTCGGGTGGTTCACGATAAGCAGAGCTCTGCGCACTACACCCAGTGAGGTCCCAGCACCCAGCAGTCTTGGCAGCATGCGGTTAAACCCCACCCCACGGGCCAGTCACCGGTATGATGAGGCCCAAAGCCGAGATCCGGGTTCGCCTCCCTGCTGCTTTTCTGGGGATGTTTGAAAACAGAAACCCTTTTGCTTAGAATGGCTTCACAGGGCGAAACTGTACATATTCGTTCCCCTACTTGGGGGTGACATCTGAATTTGCTTAAACATTAAAAAGAGGCTAAGAAAATGGACGATGACCTCTTGGGGAGAAGGACCTGCAGGACAGTCAGGAGAGCCGGTGGGAGGGTCACTTAACATTATTTTATATTGAAAATCGAGCCGTATGACCACAACCGATTCCAAATTTAAGCTAAAAGTTTTTACGGACACAGAAGGGCCTGAGTGACCTACGTCCAAGTTTCCTTCCCTCCCTCCCCACAGGCCGGCTGTCCGTTTTTTGCTCTTCCCACCGAGCCCCCACCCCGTTCTCCACGGCACAGCTTCGCTCTTAACCTCTCTTTCCACGGGACGGTGCCCCCACACGTGGCAGTCACCGGCCGCGGGCGCTGCTAACACATAAAACATAGTTAAAAATGGCATCCCTCCAGTTCCAGCGGCCCACACTGCAAGTGCACAACAGCCACGTGAGGCCAATGGCTGCTGGAGCCGATGACACAGGCATGGAGAACCAAGGCCAGCGGTCCCCAGGAAGTGCCCGGTGTCCCGCAGAGCAAACACGGCTGGAACCTCCCGGCCGTGCGCCCAAGACTTCGCAGTGGGGAGACCCACCTCCTGGCAGGATAAGCATCTCTATAGGAACGGGCGTGTGTGCAGCTATATTTAGTCCAGTGCCAGACTAAACATAGTGACAGCGAATTGTTCTAGAGCCGCCTGTCTGATGAGGTAGCTGCTAGCTTCATGTGTCTACTGAGCACTTGACATGTGGCTGGTGCCACTTGTTTAATGTCAACTTAAATAGCCACGAGTCCCATGGCTACCGTTTAGGGTAGCGCGGACTTGGCCTTTAGCTGGCCTATGGCCTACTCCCCTCCATGGCAGATGCTCAGAAGCCCGCCCCCCTCCCACCAAGGTGTCTGGCCCAGGGCCAACTCCGAAGTCCTAGAGAAACGTTCTGATTCACGAAGATAATCGATAAAGAAGGGCAGCGTACACGCCAACGGCTATCAGCCGTTTGACAGGGGACTCTGTGCTGGCACTCCCATTTCGCAGAGGAGAAAACCGAGGCCCCGAGATGCAGGGCCAATTTCTCAAAGTCGGAGGAAACACAGGGGCCAGGCAGCATTCACCTGCCTCCCTACACAGCCTGGTCCCGCCCCTGCCTGCTGGGCAAAGAGGATGGTGGCCTGGCCGGAGGGGCTGGAGCCTCTTCCAGCGCCCTGAGCGCGCTGGGCTGCCACCTCCTGGGGCCACGTCGGTGGATTCCCCAGCTGGGCCTCCAAGCAGCACGAGGCCCCGGGGAGCCTTCCCCAATTCGCCCTGGCTCGTTAATGCGCAATTTACTGGCACTTTAATGCACTCAGCATGAAAAGTGCTGCTCCCTCTCGCCCCGCTAGCTGGCCCTCCCTGGGGAGAGCTATGTGCAGGCAGGCGGTGAGAGCCAGGGTCTGCAGCTGCTGCTGCTGCTGCTGCTGCTAGGGATTTTAAATGCACAGCAAGGAGGCTGGGAAAACGAGGGAGGGACAGGAGGAGGAGGAGGAGGTCTATGCGGGACCACGTGGCTGGCAAGGCTGCTAGGGATCATCTCATCGCCTGGGGGCGGGCGGGGTCCTGGGTTGACCAACAACACAAGGAGCCTATCTCCGGGGCCTCATCCCCCACCTTTTGTTACTCAGCAAGTGCTGTCAGGTTCCTCCCAAAACATAACCACAATCTCATTACTTCTCACCACCGAACCGATCTGTGTGACCAGCATGCCACACCTGGACGGTCCCAGCGTCCCCAGCTCCTGCTCGGGCCCTCTACAGCCTGTCCTCCGTGCTGCAGCCAGAGGGCACCTGTGAGCACCCGAGTCGGGTCCCCGGCTGCCCGCAGCCCTCCAAGGCTGCTGCCTCCCTGGGGTCAATGCCCAAGTCCTCCCCACACCCCACATGGCCCTGCACGACCTCCACCTCCCACCCTCATCTCCTTTCTCCCCCTGGCTCCCTCTGCTCCAACCCCAGGACCTTGGCATGTGCTGTTTTCCAGATACCCTAGACTGCAACCCACTCCCATCCTGGTCCCCCATGGCATGCTCTATGCCAAGCCCACCTTGCCTGGCCCCCGCCATCTGACACTTCTGTTTACCAAGCTCTTCTCACCCCGAGGGCAGGGGTTTGTCTGTGTCCTTTGCTATTTCCCTGGCGCCTACAACAGCACTTGGCAAGATGATGGGTAAATATCTGTTGAATGAATAACTGTCCTGGTTGCTTCCTGTCCCCCGCCCCCCCATCTGTCTCTCCCCGTTCCCTGAGCTGCCCACCCCAGGCCCTGCTAAATCGCAGACGTGGCCCTGGCCCTCTGCCAGTCGCATCTGGCACAGGCAGAAAGTCCTGCCAGCACCCAGGAGAAAGGGGCCAGGTGGCAGGAGGACAGGCAGGGGTGGAAGTCACGCTTCGGCTTGGGCAAAGTGCCCCGTGCAGGGAGCCAGGGTCCCCGGGGAACTCAGACACACGGAGATGGCGATCCGGGTGTGCCTGGCACATACAACGGGCCCTTCATAGCTGAAGCAACTGACCTGCAAAGTGCTGAAGAGGCCCCTGGCCGCATCTGGGCCACGCAGGGGACCAGGGAGCAGGCCAGGAGGAAGGGGCTCAGAGGATGGAAGACGCATGCCCAAGATGTGGGGATCCTGGTCCCGCCCCTCCTCTGCCCACAGGCTGCCGGGGCTCCCACCTCCATGGGGTAAAAGCCCAAGTCCTCTCAAGGCCCACAGGGCCCTGCGTGACCTGCCCCCCACCCCCATCCTCTCCCTGTCTTTCTCTTCCTTTCAAAGAGGGGCAGCTATACCTGAGCTCCTGGTCGCGCGCTTACCTGTCTGTGATGTTCCTGCAGACCCTGCCGGAGCCTCTGAAGCTGTGAAGGAACAAGCATCGGTGGGTGGCGGTCAACGGGCGTGGGCAAGGCTCTGGACCCTGAACTCTGTGCATGCTTCTCCCCGGCTATGTGGCCCTGAGCAAGTCACTCAACTTCTCTGGTCCCTGCTCTCATCAGATGGGACACCAGTTCATATACTCAGGACAGGAGCTAATTAGGGAGAACTCTGGATTTCATTCTAGATGTGAAGCGAGGTCAAAGGCCTCCCCCAGAGACCCCGCCCCTGCTCTCTGCTCCAGCTACACGGGCCTCCTCGCTGTTCCTCCAACACAGCAGGCGCAGTCCTGCCCCAGGGCCTTTGCACAGGCCGTGCCCTCTGCCTGGACCACCTTTCCCTGCTCTCTCTAGAGGGGGCAGGAGCCCCTTATCTTTTATGAACACTACTTCGTCTGAGAGGCCCTTCTTGACTACCCTAGCTCAAATCTTTACTCGTTTTTCACGTCGTCTTCTATTTTCTTTATAACACTCGCATTTTGTGAATCTCGTTTCTCTATTGACCTCTCTCTCCTCCCCTCAGAGCTGCCCTGTCCAATGAGTTAGCCACTGGTCAAGTGTGGCTATTTAAATCTAAATTACAATTCGATTCCTTACACGTGCTCAAGTGCCACCCGAACCTAGTAGGTATAGACATTGTTGATACAAAACATGGAAAGTTCTAGAAGACATCAATACACTAGAACATTCATCCATCAAGGGTAGGGACTCTAGTCTGTGCCGTGGGCTGAAGAAACACCTCTTTTCTTCATTACTTTTTAAATTACTTAATATTATTATTTATGCTTACAGCACCTGGTCTTCCTAGGTGGTCTCCCATCCAAGTATTAACCAGGCCCGACCCTGCTTAGCTTCCAAGATCAGACACTGGGCTTATTCAGGGTGGCATAGCCATACACCATGGGCCGTGGCTCCACTGGGGCACGAACCCAGGACCTTGTGTGTGTATAGCAGACGTGCTAACCGCTACGCTATGGAACCACGTCCAAAACACCTCCTTTAAATATGAAACTTCTAGTCTTCACAGCAAGGTTATTAAGAAAAACTTGGGAGCATTTGAGATCTTGCTCCCTGCACACGTCAGTTTGGCTCAAATAAACTCATAAAAATGATAACCATAAAAAAAAGACTCATGAAGGTGGGGCTCAACGGGTTAGCTCACTTGCCCAAAGTTAGTAAAACAGAAAAGAGGGTGTCTTGAAATGAGGCCGATGCGCCTGTCCAGAAGGTTCTGGGAGGGGCTGCCCAGGGCTCTGCCTGGCTTGTGGCTCACCGAGTGGTAAATGCTCTCCACCTGGGCCGGCAAGTGAGGGGGGAACCTGTGGGAAGACAGACCGGCTGGAAGGAGGGGCAGGACCCTTTCCCAGAACGAGCCCCACCCCCCACAGGGCGGGAATGAGGGTCTCCTTCAAAGAGCCGCATTTAAGGCAACGTCAAGAGGAATATGATTTTAATGCGGCATTGAAAAACGTATAACTGAATGCAAGCACGTTCATGCCAGAGAAATCAAACATCTAGATGAAAGCCAGGATGGTTTCCCTTCTGCTTTGGGCTCCCCCAGGAGTCTGTCTTTTGGGTCAGGGGCTTAAGGCCACAGCGGGGCCTTGAAGTGTCCTCACCTGGGGAACTGCTTCTTGAGAAGATCTAAGAAGCTCTGATGGGTCATGGCTGAAGGGCTGGCCCGGGCATGAGCCTGGAAAGGTGGGGGTGGGGTGAGATGGGACCCTGCTACTCTGAAGGTAATTTGCCTTCTCTCTTGCCACTCAAGTGCCCGTGGAGTCTCTTCCAGTTTGCATCTTTCCTTAAAACATCGAAAGTATTCCCCTCCCTGGGCCTTTATGGAAGAAGTTTGCCCACCCCTGGCCGAAATTGTTAGAAATTGTTGGAAAGTGAGTCCCAGAGGTGGGGTGGGGGGGGAGGGATTTTGCTTGTAAAACATTAACAGGTTGTGTTTTAGGCCTGGGGGATAAGAAGTTTAATTTCACCTGTCACCTGTCCATAGGTATGATGGGGTGGTGACCCCAGCTCAAAGGCCTGGCCACCCCCCTTCCCGTCCCTCCATCAGAAGCAGGAGAATTGGATGAGCCCAGCCCCCCGGGGTTCTTCCCCTCACCTCAGGGGTTAATGCCACACCACGCCCTCCTGGGGGGCTCACCATCCTTGGAGGGTGCTCCTGGGAGCCCAGACGGCCCCAAGAGGTCATCTTCCAGTAGTAGATGCAAAGGCTCTAAAAGTAACAAGAGGAGGCAGGTCCTGAGGGCTGGAGGCTGGGCAGCGACAGGGACAGACCAGCCCCGCCCACCCTGGGCCTCCCACACTACGCCACGCCCCTGGTCTCCCCTCCAGGACCCGGTCCTGGGCCTTAACCCCCTTCCTGACCTCCAGCACCCTCACTGCATTCCCTACGCCTGTGTTCATCCATCAAACACTCTGGTGCCTTCAGCTGTGCTGACCCACAGTGATGTGGGGCGGGGGGAGGAGGCAGTCGGGGCTGGGGGGGCCCAGAGAAGGATACTTAGTTTTGAGACAGTTTCCTCAAGTGCGGGCGAACACCACTGGAAAGGGTTTTTAGGGGCGAGTAAGAGTTGGCCAAGTCAATTAGAAGGAGTTTCTCAGGCAGAAGGAAAGAGACCTCTGCAACCTAATCACAGCTGCGGCACCAAGTCCCTTCTTTACTTGGCTTCTGCCCTTCAACGCCCTTCTAGTCGCCTCCCCAGCCCGGGGACCCGGGGGGTCCTCCAGGAGACCCGCGGCCTACCCCCTTCCTTAGAATGGAGATTCAGAAGGGGTAAGGGAGAAGCCACGCAGGTCAGCCCAGTAAGAGCCTTCCCCGACCCCCCTACCCTGGGGGCCATTTGTCCCGTCGGGCCCCTCCCTGGCCCGCCCCAGTCCCGCCTCGACCCCGCCCCGCCACCTCCTAGCACCGCGGTGCGGATCAATGGACAGGCAGCAGCTGCACGTGGGCTCGGGCTCCGCGAGCGGCCGCTGGAGACCCTGACCAATCGTGAGGGCGCCTGCCCACGTGCGTCGCGGCCGCCGTCTCTGATTGGTTGACATCCCCGCTAGCTGAGGCCGGGCTGTCAATCAGAGCAACCCTTGCTGCGCCTTAACTCCTGCGGTCCCACGGCAGGGAAAGCCAGCGTGCAGAGCCGCAGGCAGTTTCGGGCGCAGGCGGGGGGCGAGGATGTTCACGAGGGCTGGGGACTTGGGACTTGGGGTCAGAGGCTGCAACTTGGGGAGGAGCTGGGCGGCGTGTAGTTGCACTGTTTGGTGAGCTTCCTGATGAATTTTCGCCATGCCCAGGAGTGGCCTATGGCAGGAGATAAGGAGTTGGGGACTGAGCCTTGGGGGGGTGGGGGGCAGGGGCTCTCACTCCGGTCCTTAGGTATGGTCTGATAACATTTTATGATGCCAAATAACATGCAATGCAAACGAAGCTTCAAGCCCCCTTTTTGGGAAAACTCGATAACTCCCTTTTATCCAGCTTCCCTGAGCCCGAGCCCCGGGCTACACATTTCCAATTGCCCTGCAAGCCTAGAGCCAGAGGATCTGAGACCTGAAAACAGCTACCGCAAAGGCCTTGAGGCTGGTACATTTTTTTTCAAGTTCAAGGCCAAGGTGGGAAGGAGTGATGGGTATTCAAGGCCTGGGCTGGCTTCAGAAATAAGTGGATGGGGCCAGTAAGGGGCTGTTGAGGGGTTCCAGCGTCCCATTCTGGCCCAGGCCGAGAAGCTAGAGGCCTGCGGGAGATGCGAAGTGATCAGTCTGGAGTTTCGGGGTGAGAGGCCAAGTTTCTGCCTACCCCGGGACCTTTGCACTTGCTGTTTCTTCTGCCAGCGATAGTCCCCCACCTGGTAGCCATGGGCTCCCTCCTTCCCTTCCCTTCCCCTCTGGCTCAGAGGTCACCCCCTCAGAGAGACCTCCATCCTCCCTTTATTTCCTTTTCCAACAAATATGGTTTGGATCGGAACTAATCTTGTGTTAATCTCCGTGACTAAAAATTCATACTATGCTGACGGGATCCTAATGCACTGTCAGAGGCGGCCGCAGGCTCCTGGGCGGTGTGCTGGCTTGGGAATCCACGCAAACCAGAGACCTGTCCCGTTTCCCACGATCTGTGCTTTGTCACGGCGGGCGGGGGGAGGGGGGCTGAGGTGAGGGTTCAGATCTCGGGATGCGTAGCCCCCAGAGGTTCTGATGCAAACGCATAACTTGGGTTTTGTGGCGGGCAGGGCAGGGAAAGCAAGAGCTGCTGTATATACGAACCGCAAAGAAAGGTTTTCACCGATGATCCCTCAACTGGCCCTTAATTGAAGTGTATTTTATTTATGACCCAGCCTGCTAATTGCCTCCCTCTGTGCGCTTGGCTCTCCTCTCTGTGTTTGTAGACTTACAGCTGGACACACCAGTTCAGCTGAGGCTGGCTTGTCTCTTCTGGTTTCCACCGGGTACCTGTGGCTGTTTAAGACAAATTAAATAAAATTTAGAACTCAGTTCCTCAGGCCCACTGGCCATGTTTCAATCGCTCAGTGGCCACGTGTGGCTGGGGACTGTCCGCACGGGACAGCACAGATTCAGAATATTCCCATCATCGTAGAAAGTTCTGCTGGACGGCACAGATCTGAAGTTCTTCAGAAAGAAAAACTCTAGGTCCGTGTAGAAGTCCGAAGCGTTTTATGGCAGCCATTGCGTTCTGACTTTTTGAGATCTCTGCGCGTGGGGCTGGGCGATCTTTGGTACTTTTGCGGGTGCGTGCTCCCGCTGGTTCTTTCTTTTTCTCTTCCCCTTCTGCGCCAGGCTGGCCAGCAGGGACAGGGCCTCTTTGGGCCCTGGGGAAGGGGACAGATGACACAGCAGATAGCCAAGGAGGAAGCACAGATTTCCTTCTTGGCTTCTGAGCTGTGCTTTACTTGGTGCAAGTCCAAGGTCTGGATGAAAGTTTCAGAGAAAAGGGGTTTACTTTTCCGAAGCTATGGAATTCCCTGGGATTGCTCTGGAGATCTCAGACCCAGCCCCCAGGGGCCGTAGGGTCACCTGGGCTGGCTGTGGGTGAGGCAGTGGGCTCAAAAGGAAGCCCAGGGTGGAGACGAGACTGTGGAGGTGACAACAGGGAGGTGGTGATAGGCTTCAATTGCCCCTTTTCCTACTCCCAGAACTTTCCAGTGGCCCACGTGAGCAAGAGACAATAGCCAAGTGTCAGAGTGGGGGAGAAGCTGCGGAAAGCCTGTCTTCAGACCCTCTGAAGACGCTGGCCAGGCTAGGAGACGCTTAAGAGCAGGAAACGCCCCAGCTGCCCCCCACTCTTGGACCCCACGTGTCTGCCCTTGAACTCAGGCCTGGCCCCAGGAAAAGTGAATTTATTGAATTATCTGGCATCGATCGAGGTTTGCTCTCTGCCACCGGTGGGAAGAGGCTTGTGTTCCTTTCACGAGCCGCTGTAGCTGCTGTAACAGATGACCACAAAATGGTTGGCTTGAAACAACAGAAATCTTTTCTCTCACATCTGGAGGCCGGAAGTCCAAAATCAAGGCGTCAGCAGGACTGCATTCCCTCCGAAGGCTCCAGGGGTCTTTCCTGCCTCTTCCAGCTTCTGACCATGGCTGGCAGTCCTTGGCCTTCCTTGGCTTGTAGACACATCAGTTTGACCACTGCATCCACCTTCACGTGGCCTCTCGCCCGTGTGTCTCTGTGTCCGAATTTCTCTCTTCTTATAAGGACATCAGTCATTGGATTGGGGCCACCCTACTTCAGCATGACCTCATCTTAACTAATTACATCTGCAATGACCCGATTTCCAAATGAGGTCACTTTTCCAGGTGGTGGTGGTGGTGGTGGGGATGGCGGGGAGGAGGGAGCCGAGTGGAGGTGGGTTAGAATTTGAAGGAATCGTTCTCAAGGACACAATTGTACCCTCTACAAAGCTCAACAGAGCCATTAAGTTGTCATAGTGACCCACTCAATCGCCCATGAACCCCAAGATCCCCATTTTGCAGATGAGAAAACTGAGGCCCAGAGAGGTTAACTGACCTGCCCAAGGTCACGCGGTCACCAAATATCTAAGCTAGGTTGTGAACTCAGGTCAGCTTCCTCCAAGACGTAGCCTTATAAGTCTTACGCCAAGACTCCCAGATCTAACTTAGGTTCCTGCCACGGGATGGCTCACCATGCACCCAAACTTAGAGGAAGTCGCATCCGTTCCGGAAATGGGTCTTGGACCTCCTGGCCCTGGCCGTTGCTCCTGAAGAAACCAGATGTATTAGCTAGTGTTACAGAACAAATTGCCCCCAAACTTGGTGGCTTGAAACAGTAAAGCTTTATCATCTCGCCGGTTCTCACGGGCAGGAATCTGGGGGCAGCTTTACTGGTTCGATGTCAGGTCACTGATGAGAGACCCATGTTCCCTCCTGTACAGCAAACACCTTTCAGAACTCAATCGAAAAATCTCTTCTGAGCCAGGCTTCATCACTTTCTCTCTCATGTGCTCGTGATCCTACTCACCACCCCAGGATATTTTTTATTTTAATTCATTCTTCCTTGTCTGTCGTGCTCATGCATTGCCGGAAGGATGGCGGAATGGAGTACATTTACGATCACCCAAGTGCATTTTTGTGTGTGCATTTCTTGTGTGCTTATTTCCTCAGACGCCTGCGTCTCCATTGGGGGGTCCGAGGTGGCTTCTCACCCTCCAGGGGGGTCCTGCATGCTTCTGACACTCTCCCCATGGGGCTGGGCAGGTTGGGGGTGCTGAGGTTGTATTTCGACAGTCAAGCCACGGTTGTTTTAGGCTGTTGGAAGGTTTCCCAGCAAATCTGCAGTGAGCCAATGGTTAATTCCAATGGCATCATCTGAATGAAGGCAGCGGCTTTTCCCCAGTGCGACCTCCACGGCATGGAGAGCCCGTAGAATCCCTTCTTGAGGGTCCAGTTCATTCCCTCCATGAAGTGGGAGGAGGGGAAGGTAGTCTGCAAATTAAGACTCGTGCGGGCAGAGTCTCAGTTGAACTTCTGGTCTCTGGTGCCCTCTGCTGGCAAAACATTTTATTACAGCTTCGTTGAAGGAAATTTACATAACAATGAAGTCATCCATTTTAAGCGTAGGGTTGGATGATTTTTCGGACATTTGTCCAATTGTACAAGCATCACTACTACCGATTTTAGAAAATTCCCATCGCCTCAGAAATAGCCCTCCTGTCTGTTTTGAATCCATCCTTTCCTCCCATTCCTGGTTTTCTGTCTCGGTAGATGTGCCTTTTCTAGAAATGTTATATAAATGGACTCACAAAATACGTGGTCCTTTGTGTCTGACTGCTCTCGGTGAGTGCAGTTCTTTTGAGGTTCGTCTCTGTTTTCGCGTGTCAGTACTTCATTCCTTTTCATCGCCAACTGAGATTCCATCGCACGTGTGGACATCTGAATATCTCCAGTTTGGGGTGAATCATGAATAATGCTGTCGTGAACATCCGTGGACAGCACTGTGTTTTCTTTTCTCTCCGGTAGATAGATGCCTGGGAGTTGAATCGTTAGGCACGGTACGATAACGTGTCTTTAACTTTTCCCGAAACTGTAGGGCTGTTTCCCAGAGTGGCGGTGGCAACTCCCATTCCCACCAGCAGCAGCTCAGGGCTGCCCGCCGCCTCCCCCCCCATCTTCGCAGCAGAATCACTTTTCAATGAGGGGATTCATGGTGACTGTAAGTTTACAGTACACATGAGGAACCAATTTGGGGGTAACTTTTCATTTTGATATAATTTCCAGTTTACAGAAGGGTCTCAACAATAGTACCAGGAACTCCTTCATCCCGTTTCTCCAATGTTAATATTTTGCCCCTTTTGATTGATCATTCTCTGTGTGTATACATGCATATGCATATGTAAATTATGAATATTCCCACCCATTAACTCTGAATTAATTGCATTCCGTGGCCCTTTATCCCAGAATGCTGTCAGCTGGTACTTCCAAAGCATATCGAAGTAGGAGATTTCAAGAGTGACCGGGCCTTCTCGTGGTCATGCTTTTTCTCCATTGAAAGAAGTCTTTATTCTGCATACAATGACTTCATCAGTATGTGTTTCTCAAATATTTTCTCTTTGTTGTCACTCGCTTTCTCGTTTTCTTCACAGTGGCTTTCAAAGAGCAAATCTTAAAAATTTTCAAGGATCCATTTGATCTTTTTGGTGTGTATTTGTCACATTTTCTGTCCTTTCAGAGAAATCTATGCCTAATCCAAGGTCACAATGACTTTTCTCCTGTGTTTCTTCTCAATGTTTTATAGTTTTAGCTCTTCCGTTTAGGTCTATGATTCACTCGGAATTGATCTGTGTACACTACAGTATGATGAAGTTATCGATTCTGAATACACGGACACGTCCTTAAAAGGACGATCTGTAAGAATTTTCGATTCTCTCTAAATTGAACCTGTTAACTTAATGCAATTCCAACCAGCTGTCCCAGCACAGCCCACCTGCCATCCACTGCACACCTGAGCTTCTAAGGGGTCTAAGATGGCAGCTTACAGCCAGGAGAAGTCCACAGAGTCCCAGGCCTACCCTAGCGCCGCCTCAGTCATCCTGGGCCTGCCCATCAGTATCAGAAGCATCTTGCCCAGAAACTGGAATGGCACTGTGGGCCATTCCTCCCTAGGGGGAGGAGCGGTTTCTGTAGTTTAGAGGCTTCTCATGTATAATGGGAATGAAACAGATGTGCAGGCCTTGGGGGATACAGCAGAAGGGACAGGTGCTTGCAGCCACTCCCCTGTCTTGATTGTGATACATTTGTTACATATGCTATTTTAAAATACGGTTAATATTTTGCACCCCCCCCTCCCGAATCTAAGAAGGATGAGGGCAAGGATTTTTGTGTTCATTTATTGCTGTATCTCCCAGGGCAGAAAACAGAGTGAGGGATATAGAGAATGCTTAATGAGAATGTGTTTGAGGAATTCACATGCACTTTCCCTCGGTCTAACTAACGCACAAAAACAAAAATATTCACAAATGTGACTATAAGAGCTAGGTCGCCATCCAGTGGCCAGGATAGAACATCACAACGCATTTATTAGTAAGAGAAGCCACATGGAAGAAAGGAACGCACAAAAATATAACCCCATTTCTGGAAGAAATAAGACTTTCAAGGAAGAAACATTCCAAGAATGGGAATATCTTTTTACAGGAGTTTGCTAGCATGAGGAAAGCGTTGGGGGAAATAAGCATTTATTGCTTGCAGAAGATTTTACTGTGTGTCACGGTAACCTAGGCGCTCTAGGAGGGCACGGTGAGCACGCCCCCAGCTTCACAGTTGGTTCTCGTTCTGGTCCTAGCCACGCCC